CTCTAGACACGCCTATAGGGGCCCTTAGAGCCTCCACACGACTGCTCTACTTCATCGGGCCCTCTACAGCTTCCCGCACACCCCTCTACTCTTTACACACTTCTAGAGGCAACAAAAATGATCCTCAGTCCTGTTGCGCCCCCGAAAGAACACATGATCGCCACACCCCAGGCCAACGCCGCTCCGGCGGTGCCCGAATCGCCCCGACCGGCCGCCAAAGGTCCGAGCTGCCGCCTCGAAATGCCGACCCCGACGCACCCTGGACGATCCCCGGTTTCACGTCGTTTCACCCTGGGTCCTGCTTTCAAGGATCGTGGTTCGAGATGGTCTTGTGGGTTTCTGGGACTTCCCCCTTGTGGAGGTGGCCTGGAAAATTTAGGCAGGGTCCGCCCTCACATGTTGATCCCGACGCATCTTCCGGGATCGTGGTCTGGACGCATCTGTGAAGGAGCCCTCCGCTCGATGTTTCGACCCCGGGCCCACTTCTTTTCCCCGCGGCAAGGGGGAAGAGAAGTGGGCCCTGGAGGAGGAGAAGGGGGCGAGGCAGGGGAAAGAAGAAAGGAGGCGGTAGGAGGAACGAGAGGGAGTGAGGGAAGCGAAAAGTGAGCGATGGAAGCGCCACAGGCAAACCGCGCCCTCGTCCGGCCAGCTTCGCCCCCGCCACCGCCTCCGCCGCCGTCGTCGTCGTCGTCCTCGTCCTCGTCGTCGTCGTCGTCGTCGTCGTCGTCGTCGTCCTCGTCCTCGTCTTCGTCATCGTCATTGCTTTGTCGTCGTCGTCGTTTCGTCGTAGTCTCTCTCTCTCCTTCTCGGTCCCCCCTGTAGCCATACAATGCATACCTGTGCTCCATCGCCATCAGGCTCCAAGAGATCATGCAAGCCGTGCTCTTGCGCAGCGTGTCAAGTCTTCCTGCGCTCGACACGGCTGAGCAGTTGAGTGCGCAAGTCCAGCCTTGCCGCCGCTGACCCAGGATGTTGGAGCCCTGTGTGAAGAAAAAAAAAACAATGCATACCTATGCTCACGCAGCCATGCCCTGGCCGGATTTCCGACGCGTATAGTTCAGCGTGCGTCCGGGGGCCCCCCCCTGGGAAAGGCCGAGAGCGGCCCTGCAGAGCTCCCCGAGACGGCCCCCCAAGATCCCCGGGAGCCCTCGGGAGGCCTTGGCGAGGCTGCACCGCGTGGAATGGCCCCCACGCGTGCCCCACATGGCCGACAGACGAGGCCAACGGGCCCCCAGGCGGCCCGGGAGCGATCCGAGACGCGTCCCACCACAGCCCGAAGCGCTGTGGTCATACATCCCCTCTGGGTGGTTCACGGATTTTGACGTTCTCGTACTCTGGTTTGCGGACGCTCCCAGAACGCCATTCCTGGCGCTCCGAGGGCAAGGATCTGCGTGAGGGGTGCGCCAAAATGGGGGGGGCGGCCGATGGAGGGACTTTAGGGCGGCGGAAGGGATTTTAGGATTTAAATCTTTAGGATCACGGATTTTGACGTTTTCGTACTTTGGTTTGGTTTGACGCGTCCCACCAGAAGCCGAAGCGCTAAGATCACACATCCCCCTGTGGGTTTCTGAACGACCTTGGCTTTTTCTCGTTCTTCCAGCCTGCGGACGCGAATCGCCACGCTCCGCCCCCGCGCGAGAGCCGCCCAAGGAATCGAGAGTTCGACGGCGCAGCGTAGCAAGTCATGGAAAGATTGTATATTCTTATTCTCATCTTGTAACGACCCGGCTGGCCGCTGTTTGGAGGGAGCTGCTGGGAGCCAGGGGGCGACAAATTCTCCAAACTCGTTGCGCGTAAAGGCGCGGCATGGGAGCCGCGCCAGGGCAATATCGGGTGGGTGGGGGCTCCGGCGGAGCCCCCACCCACCCACCCCCACACCCCCACACCCCCAAAACCGGACCCCCCCCCCAGGGACGCCCTGGACGCCCTTCCGGACGTCTCGGCGGCCCCCCGGACGCCTTTGGAAAGGGTCCGCTGGCCCTTCCGGGCCTCCCAGGGCGCCTTGCCGGGCCTTGCGAGCAGACTCGAGGCGATCAGAAGGGTCATTGCAAAGGCGCACGAGAGACCCAAGACAGCACAAGAGCGCTCCAAGAGCAACCTCGATGGTCTGAAGACGGCCGAAGAGGCCCCCAAGACGCCCCAAAAGGGCGTTCAGAGAGCCCCTGAAGAAGCAAAAATCGTCCCACTCCCGGAGGGAAATGTAGATTTGTAGCATATCCGCTTTTGGGGTCTTCGCAGCGGCCAAGACGGCACGATGAGCCCCCGATATAGCCCCAAGACGGCCCAGGAGGCCCCCCAGAGGGCTTGAAGACGGCCCAAGAGGGCCCCAAGCTTGCCCCAGAGAGCCCCGGCACTGGCCACAAGAAGCCCAGGATGCCCCAGAAGGCTCCCAAGAGAGACCCACGCAAGCCATGGGAGACCCCCAAGACGGCCATTGGAGGCAACCAAGAGAGCCCTAGATGGCTTCAGAAGACCTCTGGAGGGCCCCAGCTCCCCAGCACGGCCCAAGAAGGCCCCAGGACGGCCCAAGAGGGCCCAAGGACGGCCCAAAAGAGCCCCAAAAACGTCCAGACTCTTTCTCCTACGAAGTACATCGAGCTTACCAAAAGATCCTGGTTCCACGCTTGAGGCTCGAGGTTTATCAAACTCCTCGATCGAGAGAGACAGGTCTCCCCCCCTCCTTCCCTCTTCCGCCTCTTCAGACTCCCCTTCATCCCTGCTCCCTTCCAGTTCCCCGTTCATGGAGAAGTGCCATCGCAACAGCTTGATGATTTGTTGTTTGCCAGCACCTTCGCGCGTGAACAAACCATCATTCATTCCCCACTCTTGCGCATAAGCGTGCAGCAGGCGAACGCGGTGTCAGCAGGCACCAGGGATGTCAGAAAAATGAACCGGTCGCCCGTCCAGGCCTCGAGGCCCCCCTTGCTGAAGCAAGCGGTAATTTATTGCGTAGCCGGAGAAGCGTCCTGAATGAGGCGCACGGCGCGAAGCGCCATGCAGCTTGGTATCTATATATATATATATATAAACACACACATATATACATATATATATATAATCTGTATATATATATATATATGTCGGCGGTGCCCGGTGCGGAGCGACCCCCCCCCTCGGTAATCTCTCCTGGGGGGGTTCGAGCTGGCGCCATTCCCGGTGCGAGCCTGCACGAACCCCCCCGGTAAACACGACCTCCTCTGGTAGGCTGCACGAAACCCCCCGGTAAGGACGCAACCCCTCCGTAAGCGGCGCGCTCCCGGCACGCGCGAAACCCAGCCCCGACACGCGAATCTTACCAGGACGGGCCGGAACACGGCGGCGGCATTGCATCCCAGGGCCGTGCCGGAACACGGCGGCACTGCTTTTCTCTACGCGGCCGTGCCGTCGACCCCCCACAGCGGCTCTTGGGAGTTGCGCCGCAACCTCTCGTATTGTGGCCACGAGCCACAATACGAGAGGCTGCGGCGGAACAAAGGCGAGCAGACGCGAATAGAGAACACAAGGCGAGTACACGCCACATTTCGACAGGGAGCCACCCTTCCCAACGGCCCCCCTGCCCCCCCCCCAACCCACCCCCCACTCCCACCCCCCCACTCCCACAGGGGGGGGTGGGGAGCCCAGGTAGACGCAGTGCGGCCTGCACGAACCCCCCCGGTAAAGCGACAGGGGAGGACCCAATGCGGCCTGCACGAACCCCCCCGATAAAGCGGCAAGGGGTGTGTGTTCTAAGCCGCTGGCTGCACCCGGTGCGGGCTGCACGAAACCCCTTCGGTAGTGCACGAAACCCCCCGGTAGTGCTGGGGGGGGGGGTCGTGCCACGGCGCACCGCCAACATATATGCACATATGTTTATATGTAAATGTATATAGATATTAATGTGCGTGTGTGTTCTGATCGGTGGACCTCCCTTCCCTCAACATCCCTAGCGCGGCATGCGGCTGGCGGCGATCGGCGGAACTTTTTCGGCCCCTATGCGTTGCGTGCCGCTGCGAATTCGAAATAGAGCTAGAAGCGACCCCGCGCCAAACCGTGTGATTCATCCGACGAAGCGCGCCCTCGCGCGGAACAGATGCGTTCGGTTACCCCGCGGAGCCGCAATCATTGCAAGCTTGGATCGATAAAGAGTTTCGCAACGGGGATATCGACCCTCCTGGCTTCGGCCAGGAGGGCGTAGCGTGTGCGGTGGTGGTGCATGAATGCCGTCAGTGAATCCTACTCTGGCCTCTGCCTTACGCAAGTGCCGCCAGAGGCGTCTGGCAGGCAAGTCTAGGCACGAAGCAGGGCCTGCCTTCCATCAGCCCGCGCAACGTTCACAGCAGCGCATCGGATGCAGCTGACGCCCTCCGAGCGCCCTGGCCTTGCATTGCCTTGCCGTGCCTCGCCTTCCCCCTCCTCCTCCTCCGACGACGACGACGACGGCGACGACGACGATTCATCACCATCACCATAATATTCATCATCATGGTAAGGGGCGGGTCGGTTCGTGCGCTCCCCCAACCCCACCCCGCATCGTTTGCATCTTCGTTCCACGTGTCATCGACGATCACGGACCCGATCGTCATCATCAGCATAAACATCCTCATCAACAACATCACCATCAGTATGAACATCCTCCTCTTCCTCATCATCAGCATTATCATCCTCCTCATCATCAGCAGTATGATCATCATCAGCGGCATCATCAACAGCATCATCATCACCCTTTTTATCATCCTCGTCATCATCATCAACATCACCATCCCCATTACCATCCTCATCATCATCGTCATCAGACTTCCTATCATCAGCATCCTCATCACCATCACCACCACCACCACCATCACCATCACCACTATCATCATCACCAGAATCAGCATCACCAACATCATCACCATCGTCACCATCATCACCACCATCACCATCATCACACCATCATGCACCATCATCAGCATCAGCATCAGCATCGACATCTTAGGTGAGGGGGTGCCATCAACACCACCGCACCACCTGACTCCCAAGAGGACGGCAAGGACCCGTCGGCGCCCGGGGGTGACCCGGAGAAGCGCGCCGCAGGGAGCCCGAGGCGCCCGCTCGCAGCCGCGGAGGCGCCCCCGGAGGCGGCCGACCGCGAGCGCTCCGCCGCTCGCTCATTCGGTGTACCCTCGAAGTTCTGTCGTCAGCGTTGACCAGCGTCGATTAGCGTCTGAGAGTCTATGCGACAGCGTCGGCCGGCGTAGATTCGCGTCGATTGAGCGTCGATTGCAGCAGCGTCGACCAGCGTCGACTCGCAAGAGCCGACAAGATGGTGTGGGAGGCTCCCACGCGTTGCTGCAGAACGCTCGAGACCAGATCTCCGACGATGCTATGCTTGCCCACCCCGCGGGCGTCGCGGGGAACTGCGAGCGGCACACACGGAAAGAAGCTCCTCGGAGGTCCGCGCCGATGCGGGCACTCCGCGCGGACCTCCGAGACGAGGTTCGGTTTGCCCATCCCGCAGTTTGTCCCGACGCGCATCGGCGTGGGATGCTCGCATCCAGGCGGTTCTCAGGAGGTAGTTTCACATCTAGTCGGGCGTGTGCCTTCGTCCATCGGTGCGGAATCCTTCGTGCCTTGCCGCACGGGTATAGCCCCCTTGAGGGGGAGCGGATTTGCCCGTGGACGGGCTCTCTCTTTTCGGGGGGGGGGGGAAGGGGAAAAAAAACAGTTGTCCCTCGATGTCGGCCTTCGTGAGCCGTCTGCGAGCTCCGGGGCCATCAGACATGGATCCGGGGCGCAACGCTGCCCCCGGGGGCAAGCGGTCGGGGCCTCCCGCGAGTCTAAGAAGCAGAGCGGCGGGCGACGGGGAGTCGAACTTCGAGGATCGAAGGTCAAACATCCAGGATCGATCTTCGAGGATCGAGGTGTGTGGTGTGTGTTTTGTCACGCAGTCCGCCCGCTCTGGGCATCCGAGGGTCGTCCTCGTCGCCACTGACGGATTTCCCTCGAGATTCTCGTCATGGCGTATTCCTGGACATGTCAGGAGGTCGATGTTTCCCCAGGACCCAGACACAGGACGGGGCTAGGACGAGGACAAATCCGCTCCAGAGCGTTAAATCCGTTCCAGAACGTTCCGGCAAGCTCTCAGAGCAGTCGGGAACGCTCTGAGAAGGCCGTGGCGCCCACTACAGTCGGCCCGGATTAGTAGGTCGGTCGACCTTGCCAAATCAAGGGTACTCTTGTGTCCTGTTTCTCGCGACCCATGCCTCTTACATTCCTGTGGCAATGTGGCCTTCGGAAGGGTCTTGTGCCCTCTCGCGTGTCCTGTCCAATGAAGTTCGACTGTACCTCCTCCAGAGCCGCCAGAGCTCACCCGACATGGTCATCGTCCTGGCTTCCCCCTCGGGTCGTGGAGCTCTTCAGGGCCTCCAGTCCAGAGCCGTCGGATCTCAGAGGGTCTCGACGTAGATATCCTCACCCGATATGGTCCTCGTCCTGGCTTCGGCCCACGATGCTCTCCCCCACGGCCCAAGCTCCCCCCCTCGGGTCGTGAGGCTGTCTTCGTCCTGGCCTCGTCTCACGATGTCCCCCCAGGACCGCAGGCCCCCGCTCGGGTCGTGGAGCTCTGCGGGGCTGCCAGGCCTCGAGGCTCCCCGTGTGGCGCCTCCCGGGGTCCTCGTGGCCACGGCCGCGCACGGAACGACGGAGTGGCCAAGGATGTGGCTCCCGGGAGGGGTCTTGGGATCGATCGGGAGCCGATGCTCGGCGACGACAGCCATAAGGAAGGGAGGGGGAGGGGGAGGGGGGAGGAGGAGGAGGAGGAGGAGGAGGAGGAGGAGGAGGAGGAGGAGGAGGAGGAGGAGGAGGAGGAGGGAGGAGGGAGGAGGGAGAGTTGGAAAGGAGGGGAGAAGAGGGGAGAGGAGGGGGGGGCACGTTCGTGGCGCCTCTTCGTGTTCCTGCCCCGTGGACGTGCTCAGGCATGGAGGGGCCGAGGGGGGGCCCGCGCGGAAAATCAGATAGTTCAAAGAAGACGGAGATGGAGATGGAGGAGCTCGAGGAGGGTCAGGGGCAACGCTGGGGGGATAATTAGGCTCGACGGGAGAGCATCGCCACCCAATAGTCCCTTCATCGACGATAGTGGGCCCGGTAGCCCCGCCCCGCCCGGGAGCGTGCGGATTCGCTATTGGAGCCCTGTTGCCGATCTATCGGCGATGCATCGCCGAGTTCAGGTCGATATGTTCCCCCTGAGCCTAGATTTGTAGAGTTCCGCGCGGACCTCCAACAGTGTGCGAATGCAGTTGATCCTTCTGATGGGGTCCAGACACCCTGATTCCAGACAAGTTGTCGTCTCCGCTCGGCTTGCGCTGGCCTCCGCCGCCGTCCGCCGTGGAAGAGATTTCAACTCTTTGAGCCCTCGATGGCGAGGCCCTTTCTGGAGCGCCTCCTTTTGAGGGAGGAGGGGGAGAAGGAGAAGGAGGAGGAGGAGGAGGACGGGAAAGAAGAGGAGGATGAGGAGGAGAAGGGCAACGGGAGCAGCAGGGCTGAGGCAGGGAGGCCATCTGCGCTTACGTGGGCGGCTTCTGTTCGGTGCGACAGGGCGAGGAGGAGGAGGCGGAGGAGGAGGAGGAGGAGGAGGAGGAGGAGGAGGAGGCGACGGAGACGGAGACGGAGACGGAGACGGAGACGGAGACGGAGACGGAGACGGAGACGGAGGCGGAGAAGGAGGAGGAGACGGAGACGGATGAGGAGGAGGAGGAGGAGGAGGAGGAGGAGACGGGGACGGAGACGGAGGAGCAGGCGGAGGATCGAAGAAGTCCTGCCTCTCGACGCGGGGGGGGGGGGGGGGGCGTCCGCAGCGGTCCGCGCGGCGGGCGCCGCGCCGCCAGGGGGCGGGGCCCAGCGCGGCGGCGCAAGCGCGGCGCTGGCGGGGCGCGCCGGGCGCTGCTCGGCGGCGAGGCGGCACGGCATGCGGCGAGGCGGCGGGCGTCCGGCCAGCGGCCGAGACCTCTCTCCGCAGGGCAGCGCGGAGAGGTCGGGTCCCGTGGCGCAGCGCGCGTCGGAAGGCGCGTGGGGATGGACGGCGTTGCCCTGCGGGCCGTCGCCTGGAAGTCGGCGCTTGGCAGTCCTCCTTCGGCCGCCGTCGACGTCGTCAAAGATTGCACGAGCGACGGGGTCCAGCGAGAAGCGAGTGTGCTCATCGAAGGCACGGTGGGGCTCTGCCCGCTTCGAGGTTGCGCCCATATGTGTAAGAATCGAAGGGTGAGTTGCATACGCGACGGCCATGTTGAGCCTCTATTTGAGCGTCGTGGTGTACATGAGCAGCGTGGTCTACATGAGGACCGTGCTGTGATTCAGGACCCTGAAGATGAGCTTCGAGCAACTGACGGAGATTCTCTTGAGAGTGGTGATTGCCGAGCCGCTTGAGAACTTCTCCACGCCTTTGGAGGCGATACTCGTGCGGCTGGTGATCTTCGAGCCGCTGGAGAAGGTCCTCGCGAGAGTCAGGTGTTCGAACACCGCTCGAGGCGATCTTCATGTGGGCGGTGATCTTCGGGCTGCTAGAGGAGATCGTCGTATGGGTGGTGATCTTCGAGCCGCTGGAGGATGGAGGAGATGTTCGAGCTGAGGGGGGGATCTTCACGCTGATAGAAGAGCTCTTCACGCCGCCGCGTGCGGTCTTCGTGCCGGCGGTGCTCTTCGACCCGCTGGAGGAGATTCTCGCGAGAGTGGTGATGGTCGGGCTGATGGGGGAGATCTTCACGCCGATGGAGGAGCTCTTCACGCCGTTGGAGGCAATCCTCGTGCGGGTGGTGGTCTTCGAGTCGTTTGGGTCGATTTTCGTGTGGGTGGTGATCTACGAGCCGCTGGAGGAGATCCTCGCGGGGCTAGGTATCCTCAAGCCGCGGGGGGGATATCTCCAAGCCGCTGGTGTAGATCCTCGTGTGGATGGTGATCTTCTTCGAGGCGCACCCCGAGACGCTGATGCTGCTGACAGCGGTCCCCAGACGCTGGAGCTGCACGTGCTCTACGACATGCCCCAGGTTGCGCCACCAGCGCCCAGGATGACCTCATCGCCCCGATCCGCCACCAGCTCAGGCGATCCGAGCTGCCTGTTTTGTTTGGAGGGCATGGACCATCGGGATTGAACGGGGAACGGCCTTCACCAAAGGTGCTGGCATATTGACGGGGTGCATCGCACGTTCTTCAAAGCTGTTTGCAGGCACGAGTGCCATGATGCGTTTGCTGTCGGCCACGTTCTTGACATTATCATAGCGAAGCTGCGCGAGGACAATGTGGATGTGAAGTCCTACGTCGACGATTTGCGTTTGAAGTCCTGCGTCGACGAGGTTTTTTGTTCGAGCGAAGGCGCATTCGACATCGCATTTGCAAATATGATGGCGCCGTCCTGCTGGTTGCCCCCGTTCTTCAGCTCAGAACTTGGAGGGGGCTGGGTGGCGGTAGGGGGAGGACGAGGAGCGTTGCGGCACGAGCTGTTTTCTTCCCCGCCTTGCGCCGCGAAGCTCCGCGAGCGCCAGGTGGCTGCCCTTCTTTCTTCTCCCGGGAGGCTAACAGGAGGTTTTTGTTGGGGGGAGGCGGCCGCGGCGATCATCTACGTCGGTCCCCCAGCGATGCTGGCGGCAGCGCCCTCGCGACCGCAAGGCGGATCACTTCTCTCGGCAGGCCAGTTAGCCTTGCGCGATTCTGCCCTGTCGACCTCCGGCGCTTCGGGCCTCGTGACCTCTTGAGCGACCGGCCCTCTCACGCCTCGGGCCTTCGACCTCGGCCTCGCGGCCTCTCGCAGCGCCGGCCTGGTGGAGCTGCTGCGAGCAACTCAGATGTTTTGTTGTGCTCCGCTGGCGTGGAGCTGCCGCCCGCTATCGCGGACGATGACGACGGCGACCTGATGGATCAGAGGAGGTGAAGGAGGGGCAGCAGCACGAGCAGTGGCAGCCCCCGTCGCACCGCGTCCTTGATCAGAGCTGTTCGGAACAGAAATGTTAGGCACACGCTCCCCTTGCAATGTTGCTCCTGGCGCCTCGGCTCGAGTACGTAGCTATGGGCCTTGGAGCCGTCGCACCAATCCACCACTATGCGGCGGCCCACAGCATTCATCTCCCGAGGTGCGCGGGCCGGTCGCGGGGAAAGGAAGAGTCGTGGTGGTCGCCCCTTCTTGGCATCTCCCCCCCCTCGTCCCCGATCCTATCCTTCTCGTTGTGCCTGTGTGCTCTCTGCTTCTGGTTTGTGAATCCTTGCAGCCTCCTGGCCTGCATGCTCCCGTCGTTTGTAGCGCAGCGCATGCGCTTGCACTGCAGAGCCACCATCGGGCTCGTGCTGGACCGCATTTCACGGCTGCCTTGCGCGGCGGCTCTGTCCTCCTAGGCCTGCGTGCCCCCACGGCTTGTCCAAGACAGAACAGGATTGAGGAGGCGGAGACGCTCTGCGAATGAGCGACGTGCAGCTGCCGACGGAGGCCTGTCGCAAGAGAGCTGCGAGTGCCGACAGCAGCAGTAGCAGCCCCGACAGTAGCAGTAGTTGCAGCAGCAGCAGCAGCCGATGACAGGCAGGCTGCGAGTACGAGCGCAGGAGACGGAGACGGAGACGGGACAGCGCCGCCTCCCCCGCGGAGAGGCGCCGGCGGGCTGCGGAGAGGCGCCCGCAGGCTGCGGAGAGGCGCCCGCGCAGAGGCGCGGCGGCCCGCGCTCGGCCGTCGCTGCCGCTGGCCCAGGGTGCCTGCTCGGCCTCGTCCTCGTCGTGGCCTCCGCTCTCGGGCAGTGTGGCGGGGCGGTGGGGGGGGAGAGGAGGAGGAGGAGGAGGAGGAGGCTCGGCCGTCGCTGCCGCTGGCCCAGGGTGCCTGCTCGGCCTCGTCCTCGTCGTGGCCTCCGCTCTCGGGCAGTGTGGCGGGGCGGTGGGGGGGGAGAGGAGGAGGAGGAGGAGGAGGAGGAGGCGAGGAGAGGAGGATGAGGAGGAGGAGGAGGAGGAGCGAGGAGGGAGGAGGAGGAGGAGGAGGAGGAGGAGGAGGAGGAGGAGGAGGAGGAGGAGAGGAGGAGGAGGAGGGAGAGGAGGAGGAGGAGGAGGAGGAGGAGGAGAGGAGGAGGAGGAGGAGGCTGAGGAGGAGGAGGAGGAGGAGGAGGAGGAGGAGAGGAGGAGGAGGAGGAGGAGGAGGCGGAGGAGGAGGAGGAGGAGGAAGGAGGAGGAGGAGGAGGAGGAGGAGGAGGAGGAGGAGGAGAGGGAGGAGGAGGAGGAGGAGGAGGAGGAGGAGGGAAGGAAGGAGGAGGAGGAGCGAGGAGGCAGGAGGAGGAGGAGGAGGAGGAGGAGGAGGAGGAGGAGGAGGAGAGAGGAGGAGGAGAGGAGGAGGAGGGGAGGAGGAGGAGGAGAGGAGGAGGAGGGAGGAGGAGGAGGAGGAGAGAGGAGGAGGAGGAGAGGAGGAGGGGGAGGAGGAGGAGGCGGAGGAAGGGAGGAGGAGGAGGAGGAGGAGGAGGAGGAGGAGGAGGAGGAGGGAGGAGGAGGAGGAGGAGGAGGAGGAGGAGGGAGGAGGAGGAGGAGGAGGAGGAGGAGGAGGAAGGAGGAGGAGGAGGAGGAGGCGGAGGAGGAGGATGAGGAGGAGGAGGAGGAGGAGGAGGAGGAGGAGGAGGAGGAGGAGGAGGAGGAGGAGGAGGAGGAGGAGGAGGAGGAGGAGGAGGAGGAGGGAGGAGAGGAGGGGGAGAGGGAAAGTTCCTCCTCCTCCTCCTCCTCCTCCATCCTCCTCTCCCCTCCTCCTCCTCCTTTCCTCCCCCCCCCCTCCTCCTCCTCCTCGATCACCCCATCGATCCTCTCATCGATCCTCCTCCTCCTCCTCATCCCCTCCTTCCCTCCTCCTCTTCTTCGGGAACCCACCTCCTCCTCCTCGGGACAGGCACGGCGAACGACTAGACACAACTCGATTCGAAAGAGCCACGAGACCTCCGAACTTGGTTCGTCTGGCCAGGCACGGTAGCCTGGCGGCAGTCTGCCCGCTGCCCCCCCCCCTCCCCACGAGTGCAGGGCAAACAAGGCCTGGTCAGTTGTTGGACCTTGACGGGGCCCCTCCCCTTGTTTGGAACGGGTCCCGTAGTGCCCACAGAGTTCACACAACACACACACACACACCTCGTATGCCGAGTTCTATGAGACGGGTGCAGGGACTCGGGCATTCCGATCCAGACCCCCCCCCCCCAGCCACTCCACCGTCTCCCCACGTTCAGCCCTCGTCCCGCACACACGGCACTTCCACCTTTGGCGATCACGGACCGCCGAGCGTGCGATGGTGAGGAGGGCGGCTGAGACTTGCTCCTGCACCTCCCTCCTCCGCACCTTCCCTCGACAATCCTCGCCTCCCGTGTGGATGGGCCGTAGAGAGCACGGGCTTGCACACACGGCCACCGCGTGGGCGACCGCAAGCGGGTGCTCCTGGACATGCCACGCGCGGCGGTCCGCGGCCCCCCCGAGCCGTCCGACCCCGCCACGTCCCCAGGCTCTAACCTAAAGGGGCCTGGCTGGTGGGAGGAAGAGAACACGGGGCGCACATCCACAACCGTGTCGGCAAAACTATAGGTCCAGGGAGTCGGGGGAAGGCCCCTGAGCCAGAACATCTGAGCCTCCTTCACCCCCTCCCGGGCCTCTTCAAGCAGCTCAAGGTGGGTCCCTGGGATCTCGGCCTTCCTAGGGCAGGCCCGCACTTGGTGAAAACAGCGTTCTTCGGCCTCGCCACACCGTGGGTTAGCTGGGGTCTTGGGTGGGGCCGACGGGGGGGAGCCAGCGATGGGCGGGTCGGGGTCCCCAAACTCCAAGTCCTCAGGTCCCCCGCAGGGCTGGCAAACCAGCCCCCCTCCTCCTAGGCAGCGAGGTCGCACAAGCAAGCGAAACCATCAGGGTGGGAGGGGCCAGCAGCCTCCGCCGCAGCCTGGGGGGACGGGGAGGGGGCCTGGACCCCTTCGTCGGGCCTCGAGCCCTCGACTGGATCTGGCGATAGCCTCTCCTGCAACTTGGGGAGGAGGGAGGCCGAGTCCTGGGCCCGGGGCCATGGGTCTCCCTGCCGCGCGGCCCCCCTCGCCTCCTCCGGCCCTCCCCTCCTGCCCAAGCCTGTGGGAGCTGGGCCACAGGGCCCCCGTAATGATCATCTGGAGCACCGCAGCCTTGTCATTCTCCTGGCGGCTCTTGAGCCAGCTCAAATGCTTCTGGGCAACCGTCAACTCCACCCCCAACTCCGCCCCCCCTACCGTGATAGTGGCGACGGGCCATGGACCAGGGTTGAGCCTCCTCCTCCTCCTCTTCCTCCTCCTCCTCCTCTTCCTCCTCCTCCTCTTCCTCCTCCTCGTCTTCCTCCTCCTCATCTTCCTCCTCCTCGTCGTCCTCCTCCTCCTCCTTCTCCTCCTCCTCCGTCCTCATCCTCGATCCTCCTCCTCCGGCCGAACACTCCAAGTCCCAAGACCCGAATCCAAAACGGAAGGACAGCTCTCGTGAGACCCACTCCTCTGTTTCTTGCCTCAAGCCCAGCTCGTGTGGCCTCTTCCTCCTCCTCCCCCTCCTCCTCCTCCTCCTCCTCCTCCTCCTTTTCTTCCTCCTACTCCTGCTCTTCCTCCCCCAAGTGGGCGCGCGGGCCGCCGACGAGCCCGCCCGAGCGGCCCGCTCCCAGATCTGGGCGACCAGGAGTTCGTGCAGCGCCCAGGGGGGCCACCACGGACGAGGGAGTCACCACCTCCTCCCGGAGGTCGAGGGTCGAGGAGGAGAATGAGGGGAGGAGAAGGAGGAGGAGGAATTGGAGGACGACGAGGGGGAGCAAGAGGAGGAGGAGGAGGAGGAGGAGGAGGAGGAGGAGGAGGAGGAGGAGGAGGAGGATCGAGGAGGAGGAGGCAGTCGCCTCCGAGAAGACGATCGTTGTCACTCATGTGGCCACTGGGGAGCACAGCTACAAGAACAGGATGGCTGTGCTGCTGGAGCTGATCAACACAAAAGAGAAGCGACACGCAGAGGAGGAGCAGGACAAGTACACGATCCCCGGGCATACTGTGCAGGATGCTGGTCATATGACATCCGCAGCACCACCACGGCGCAGGATTCATAGCAAGACAAAGGTGACTAGGTCTTTGATTTCGTTGGCAGCGGCGTCCAGTCCTTCGCTTGCGCCAGCTCCGTCGAGTGCCAGACCAACGCCACCATCACTGAAGGAAGAGGCTCTTGACGGGCCCAGAGTGCATGACGGGATGTTGCACTTGGGATTAAATAGGCACCCCGAATACCTGAGCAACAGGACCTCTCTCGTCTGCGACAGCGGCGAGATGCAGGGGAATGCCAGGTTGCGACCTGGCCGAGGGGCACGCGCGCATCCGGAACGCAGCGGGTGGCATCGTCGGGGGGCTTCTTCTGCAGCGTCCCTTGCCAGGCGAGGGGATAGGCCTGATGGTGCTGAGGCGAAGGGTTCATCACCGACGACGTCGGCTCCGAGAGGCGAAGGGCCACCTGCTGCAGCGGCAAGTGGCCCAGAACGAAGTGAACTGCGTCATCGAGGAGGCCACGCACGTGATCCCCCTGCCAAGCGAGGGCGTAGGCCTGATGGTGGTGAGGCGAGAGGGTCATCACCTACGACGCCTGCCCCGAGAGGCGAAGGGCCACAAGCTTCAGCGGCGAGTGGCCCAGAAGACAGTGAGCTGCGCCACCGAGAAGGCCACGCACGAGCGCCCCCTTGCAGGCGAGGGGGTAGGCCTGATGGTGTTGAGGCGAAGGGTTCATCATGTACGACGTCGGCTCCGAGAGAAGAAGGGCAACCTGCTGCAGCGGCGCATGGCCCAGAAGACAGTGAGCTGCATCTCGAGGATGCCACGCGCGAGCGTCCGGTGCCAGGCGACGGGGTGGGCCTGGTGGTGCTGGGCGAGAGGTTCATCACCTACGACGCCTGCCCCGAGAGGCGAAGGGCCACCTGCTGCAGCGGCGAGTGGCCCAGCAGTCAGTGAATTGCAGCATCGAGAAGGCCACGCGCGCGATTCCCCTGCCAAGCGGGGGGGCCGGCCTGAGGGCGCTGCTGGGAGCAGGATTTGAAGCATTTGTTGTTCGCCATCGCCGCGCTGCTCGACGCGCATGTCTTGCTGCCCCTCTGAGGACAGAACGGGCCGACTCCACCTATTCCTCCTCCTCCTCCTCCTCCTCCTCCTCCTCCTCCCCTCCTCCTCCTCCTCCTCCTCCTCCTCCTCCTCCTCCTCCTCCTCCTCCTCCTACAAGACTGCTGAGGCGCTGCGGGCGGCAGTCACAGGCCCCGCCGAGGCGGCCCAAAGGCTGGGCGCCAAGAGGGCCCGGGCTGCTCGGCAGAAGGTTCGGGGCCAAGGAGTTCATGGAGCTGTTTCGGGGGCCACTGCGTCGTGAACGTGAAGCGCTCGCCGCTGGAGCAGCCTACACGGTCGGTCGGCGGCCAGGGGTTCGGCGATTGCGGCTCGGCTTCTGACGCGTCGACGGGCCCGACTGCGACGGCTGGCACATCGCCCTCGTCAGCGCGGCTTGTGCCCAGCCCTCTTGAGAGGGCGGAGACGGCGCGTCTGGGCGCAAACGAGACCTCTCGGGTTGGCCGTGGGCTGGGCCGCGACGGGGTGCGAGTTCTCGGCGCGTCGAATCGCCGGAGGAGGATGGGCCCGCTCGTCCGTCTCCTTCGGCGGCGTGGGGTGCGTCGGCGACCCCCTCTTCCTCGATGGCGACATGTGGATCGTCGGGGCCCTGGGGCTCGATGGCGCCGTCGAGTTCGGGAGGACAGCGAGTTCGGCCTTCTCGAGTTCGGCGACTTGCACTACTTCGTCATCGGCAGCCACGACGGGTCCGACATCGGGATCTCCACCTGAGTTCACCTTGGGCGTGGATTTTGTGAGCGCAGCAGTCGTGGACTGCGCCCCCCCTCCCCCGCTGGCGCCCGACGCGAGCCGGGCATTGCTGCGGTCGGGATGCGACAGGGGGCCCGACGCTTGGCGACGACCCTCATAAGCGCAATCTTCTGGCTGATCAGGTAATACGCTCGCCAGCTTCGTCTAGCGTGGTAATGTCTACTAGGCTTGACTTGGGCATTCTGGGCGCCGCTGTCAATGACTGGAGCACGCCAGATACTGTCGCGAACTGGCATCGAGATCAGGCCCGAGCTGGCCATGGAGCCCGCCGGGGCTCTGCAGCTCGACGACCGCGCCCCGGGCCCCGACCGTCTATGAGACTCGGCCAAAGACCCAGGATAAGTTGATCAGCGCGCAGCAGCGGGGCCCTCGGAATGCGTTCCTCACCTCGTTTGGGAAGGCGGATTTTACATGGAGGAGTCTCGGCGGCAATGTCCGGGGCGTCTGGTCATTCCGGGCTCTTGCGTCCTGACCGCGGGCGCATCGAAGGGGGGTCGCGGTTTGGGCCCTGGCAGCTGGTTCCGTGGAGGGCCTCGATGCTTGCAGCGTTTTGTCTGTTGAAGGACATTGGCGTCGCGAGCGAGATGTCAGATATCCTCGAGCTGGCAGGTGCGATCTTCATTTGTTCCGAGCGGCCCCAGGTCGATCAGGGCGACTGGGGCCTCGCGCCACCTGCGGCCCCCGCGCCAGTTTGGCCAGGGCTCGCTCGCGGCGCAGCGGCCACCAGCGCGAAGCGCAACGCGAGCGAGGCCGGGGCGGAGGGGGGGGGAGGGCATCCAGCAGGACCCGGAGGGAGGGATCACATTGGACTGCTTTGTGCTCTCTGAGTGTCACAGCACGCGCGCACGCGACGCGCAGGTTGCATCAGACTGCCCGCCCCCCCCCCCCCCCCCCCCCCCCGCAGCACCGGTTGCCCCGCCAGACCAACTTGTCGGAGACGGCGTGGGTCCAACAACAAATTGAGCACGAGCCGCTCGCGGTTTCGCTTCTGAGGTCCCCGCCTGACGACAGAGAGGCCCGCTGGGCGGACCCGCTCGAGTTTGGCCTGGAGTTTCTCGCTCGGGAATTGGAGCGGGCCTTCCGCCGTCGGTTCGGCGGATTGCACGACTAGCTCGCGCCTCGTTAGTGAATGAGTCGAGATCAATTCTTGCAGGGCCCGACGGCCAGAAAGGTAGAACCCTCTTGGCCTCTTGGCGACGTGGGACGACAAGCTGAGCAACATGCTTGGAGAGCATGCTTTTGCAGACAGTTTCGAATGGAACCTCTCATGCCCGACATTTTCGAAAGGCGCAGTTTTGCCGCGCGCATCACTATGGTGGGACAGCTTCGGAGGTCGTCGCTTCGAACCGCATCTTTCTGGCCGGCTGCTCCGCGGCCGCCATTATGGCCGAGCTGGTCTTGCTCGGCCCGCTGCTGGAGGCAACGGCGCACAGGCCCTCGCTGCGTCTACGTAACGTGGTGGACGACATCGCGTTGCAGCGTCGTGGCTCGAAGCTGCAGGTGGCCGCGCATCGCTCCAGCGGGGCTATGAGCTTCTTCAGATCCTTCGAGGGCCTGATATAACCTGTCGAGTTTAAGAAGTACGCCTACCCGCGCACGAAGGCGAAGGCGCACCTGAAGGACAGCTGCGACAGGTGGACGCGCGAAAGGTGGAGGCGCACCGCCCTGCCGCACAGACACGACGAGGAACCGAGGCGGCAACGCAATTTTCGGAGATGTTAGGAGGGCGTCTTTCCATTGCGCGAGGCTCAGCGCGGCTTCGTCAAGGGCCAGTAGGCTCAAGATTATCCAGTCGGCTGGAGGGGCGGATATCAGGATGGCCCACCGCATGGGGCCCACTGCAGCGGCCTTTTGGGGGGCCGGCGTGGCCGGGGTGGCCCCCGCTGAGATGGCGGGCATCGGAATCTCGGCGGCAAGCAGTCTTGTTGGGCTTCATACAGGTGTTTCTGCGGGGCTCAGGACGCGCGCCTACGAGCTCGGGGCCAAGGAGGACCCGCCTGTGGTTCGCGCGGGGCGCGTGATCGTCACGCAGGCCACGGCTGTCTGAGAGGCTGTTCCGAATGCCAAGGTGTTCGAGAGCACTGTGGCCCAGTCGTTAAGCACGCTTCATGGTGCCAAGCATCCGTGGAGGAGTTGCTGTCCGCCGGCCGACGCGGCCCTGCTCGCGCTACGCGGCCTCGACCGGGATTAGTCGTGATTGGATCAGTCAACAAGGTTTTGCTCCGATGCAAGTGCGCGGGATTACGCGCGAGGGGGCGATTCGAGTTTCTGGCCGCCATGCTCTGGGGCTTCAGGGAGGGATTCGGGGAGAACGCAACACCCCTCCCAAGCGCCCGATCTTCCGGGTTGGGATCAGGAAGTTGTTTTTCCTGACAAGTCTAGTTCCTGCAGGGCAAACGCCAGCCTTGGGTGTTTTCTGGGACTCCTGCCCACTGTCCGCTGGCGTCTGTTTAGGTTGCAGTCGCATGACCTCCACCATGACCATGGCTGCCAGCAGTGCAAGCGCAGCCCTGGGACGTTGTGGCGCTGCCAGCACGAGCGCCCTGCTCGCGGCGCCCTGCGGCGCGATCCCGTCGGGCAGCGCCGAGACAAGATGGCCGGGCGCGCGAAGCTGTCCGGCTATGCCATGGCGGAGCGGCTCGCCGAAGGAGTCCGTCCTGGCCCCAGGTCCCCGTTCAGTGTCGTGCCCGCAGAGGGACAGGCGTGGTGGCATAATCGCCCCGAGTCAGTGGCCCTGTTGGGATTGCTCTTCCTGGACGGGCCGGCGAAGTTCACGTGCCTCGACGGGCTCGACAGAGCATGTTGGGCCACCGTGTCAGACGACAACCCATGGGAAGTGAGGCATGCGGCGTTCGGCCCAGCACCCACGAGCGCGGCCCCCACCCAGACAAGTAAGGGTGGGGAAGACTTTGCGCTGCATATGATTACGCAGTTTGGTTTCCCCCCGCTTCAGATGCATGGGGACTGTCAGTCCGCGATTGATGCCACGGTGACGGGCCATGGCTTCTCCATTGGACCAGGGGCCCCCAGGGGGCATTTTTGGGAGGCTTGTTGGAGCTCTTTCCAGCTTTGGGGCTATGAGGTTTTCAAAACGAAGGCGCACGCCGCGTCTAGCGACATCGACGCTGGCAGGTCATCTCACTGTGGGCGGAAGGCCATTGGCGCGGCTGACAGCTTCGCGAAGGCTGGCGCAGACAAGTGCGGGGGGACAGAAGATCACGCCCACGTACTTCGAGGGCTCCGCATCCTGGCACTCGAGGCGGCGCGCTGGGCTGGCACGTTGGAGGCCCTAGTGTCTCGCCAGAACGTGCGCCACACGGCGGGACTTCCCGCAGAGTCGGCGGCGCCCCGCGGACACCTGCCCGAGGGTGCCGACAAGGTGCTAGCCTATGACTCGCGTCTTCCCGCCGGCCCGGGGGACGGGCGGGGGTCGGACCCGGGGGGGCGAGCGGGGGGAGCACACTCGCTCGTTTCGTTTTCATGTGCCGAGGACACGTTTTCGTTGACACTCCCGTCCTGACAGCCCAAGGAGGCCCCAAGGGAAAGCTCGTTTTCTTCTGTAGATGCGGGGCAGTCACGGTTGTCGGCTGGGCCTCGAGAGGCTCGGCGAAAGAGCGCCACGTGCCCAGGAAGGGCACATGGGGCCGCCCCGACCAGCTTCACAGAATTCGGTTGGGCAGGTTCCATAAGCAAAGAAAGGAAGCCCTGGCTCCGGGGGGGGCCTGTAAGGGGCTCCGAGCGGAAAGTCTCGGCCGAGACGCTGGGAGGGGGCCGCGGGCCTGTCTTCTGGCTTCGCGGAGCCCGGGTCTGCCTGCGACGTCGTTCCTCTCCAGGTTTTCGCCCCACGAGGGCAGGTCCTGGACCAACTCGATTTGACCGATGACGACCTCCCTTGGGTAAAAGCTCGAGGGGAGGCGCTGATTCGTCGTTCGGCCCCCCTGGGGAAGAGTCGGATTCGGACGTGTCAGATTTTGTTTGACCTTGGGTCGCCCTGGTGCCAAACACCTCCTCCTCGTTTCCCTCCCGAGGGTCGAGGAGGAGGAGGTGGAGGAGGAGGAGGAGGAGGAGGAGGAGGAAGGACCGAGGATCGGCAAAGTCTGCAGGGGAGTCTCTGGGGGGGTCCAAGAGGAGGGAGGGCCGTTCCTGGAGGAAGTGGGGGCCCCCTCGGTGGTCCCCCCCTTGGCAATGGCTGGCTCCTGCGGCTGCCCACGGCGCTCGCGACACGATGCCGCACTGCCCATCGGCGGAAGGCCGGTCAAAACTTCGGCGGCCATTTTTGCCGTGATTCGTGCTTCCCGGGGCCTGGGGCGTACTGGAGGCTTCTTGTCGCCGCCTCTGGGTCTGCTTCGAAACCAGGGGCAGGATGAGCCCCTGGAGAGGCCCAGCGCCGGGCTCTTGAGCGCTGCGCGTGCGGCCGTGGCTGGAGAGAGCTGTCTTGCGCTCCCTCTCGTTGCTGCTGCTGCTGCTGCTGGCCGCCAGCGGGCGTGCCCTTCCCTCCCTTCGGCCTGCGCCTGCTCCTCCTCGCCGTCATCGACACTCTCTTCCTGCGCATCCTCCTGCTGTCCCTCCTCCACCTCCGCCTGCTGCATCGCCGTAGCATCTTGGGCTCAGGTTTGCCTCTCAGGCTGTTCGCGCGGTCATGCCAGGGTTGTCGGACGTCGCTGCACGTATTGTCGGACGTCGTTCTGCTGGACTTTGCCGACGGGGCCAAGGCGACGCTGTCGGGCGCTGCCGACGCGGCCGTGCTGGCCACGTCCGACACACGTCGGACGTGGCCGGGGCCAGCACGTTCTCGAAGTTCGACGCCGCGGCCAAGGCCGCGACGTTCTCACTCGTCTTCGACGCGGGCCTGCCGATGTGGGAGAAGCTCGCCGAGATGGTCGAGAGGGAGGCGCAGAGGCCGACGAGGCTTCTCGACGTCGGGTCGGGCCCGGGCGAGCCGGGCTGCTACCTCGCCGCCAGGCTGGGCTGCGCGGCGGTCGTCTCGGACGTCGTGCCGCCGATGGTCGCCGCCGCAGGCCGGCGCATCGAGGCCCGGGGCTCGAGGGGCGTCGAGGCGAGGGAGCTGGACCTCCAGGACCTGTCGAGCCTCGAGCCCGAGTCCTTCGACCTCGTGAGCAGCGCGCACGCGTACCCGTTCGCGCTGGACAAGCCCAGGGCGCTGGCGGAGGCGCTCCGCGTCCTGAGGCCAGGCGGCCTCTTCGCCGGCGTGGTCTGGAAGTCCTTCGAGCTCCTCCCGCTCGCCGGCGCCATGCTGGGCGCGGTGACGGGCACGCCGCCCTCGCCGCCGCCGGAGGGCGCGCCTCCGCCGCCGCCGGTCTCGCTCGGAGACAGGGAGGCATTCGAAGGGCTGCTCTCGGGCGCAGGTTTCGAGCCTCGCTCGTGGACCGAGGACGAGGTCACCTTCGCCATCGACGACGAGGACCTCGCCGCGAAGTACTGTGCGCTGCCAGTCTGGGACAGGCTCACCGAGCTCAGCCAGGCCCGCAGAGGGGCCCTGTACACCGCCCCCGGGCTCGGCAAGGGCCGGCCCAGGCCCGAGGATGGTGCACAGACTCTCCTGGCCTCGGTCAGGAGGGCGTTTCCACTTTTGTCAGGGCCAGGGAGGGCCCTGGCCACGCATGGTGGTGGCGTGCCCAGATCGGCATCCGATGTCTTGATTTGTTTCACACAGGGTCCCTAGAAGTTCCGACCCCTTTTCCCAGGGCTGGCGTTTCGTCCCGACTTGTTCTGCTGGCGGCCCCGAGGCCCCGCGAGGGCCCCCCGGAAGCTGAAAACGGCCAGCCGTTGTCCGCCGTGCTGTTGCGGCGCGACGCGAGCATGTCTGGGTGCAGGTGCCCCCCCGCGCCATCAGGGGCCCATCCCCGACGCGTGGGAGAGGTACGCGGCGGCGTGGCCCGAGGTCTGCGCGGCGAGAGGGCACCTGAGCGACGCGGGCTTCACCATCGGCGGCGTGTACTGCGTCGCCGTGGCCCGGAAGCCCGCCGCCTCCTGAGGCAAAGGGCGCATCAGGGGCACCGACAGGGGGGGGGGGCGCAGGCACCAGGGGGGGGGGGACGCGTGGACCCCCAATTGGCCCACTGATCGCCGATAGGGGCCCGATAGCCCCACCCCGCCGAGGAGCGTGCGGATGTGCCATCGGGGGCCTATCGCCGACCTGTCGTCGATGGATCGCCGCTTCCAGGTCGATGTTTCCCCCCTTACGGTAGGTTCGCGTCGTGTCGACCAGCGGCGACCCCGCCGCGGGCGTTCAAGGTTGAACTCCGCCAGTGGCCCAGAATCGGCCTACCTGGAACGATCGGGCGATCGAAAATCCGCCGATCGTTCAATGTTGAACGATCCACGCGGTGTCAGAACCCAACGCCGGGGTCGTCACGACACGAACCTGCCGCATGCCAGTCCCCCCCCCGATCGTTGCCCCTCAGCGCGCCTCCCCGCCCCCGCGCCAGGGCGCAGCCGCGCAGCAGCGGCGTGCGGTGCTCGCAGACGGCGTGGCCGTCGTCGCGCGGCGGAGAAAACACGTCTTTGGGTCGCTCCAGGCAGGGTGGTCGCTCCCGGCGGGGTGGCCTAAGCGGGTTGCGCATGGGCAGGTTGGCACCGTGGAGGCAGAGAGAGAGAGAGGGGAAGGCGGCCGCGGAGGTGAGACTGAAAGTCAGAGGAGGCAGAGGTAGCCATGCCGCTACCGTTCCTTCGTTTTCCCATTTCGCGGCCTCCTGGGAGGCCCCCGTCGCCACCGCTGGAGTCGCCTCGAAGTTCCGGGAGAGGTCCGGGCAGTAGCGGTATCGGTGCTCTTTGGTTTCCCCAAGGATGCTCAGACCACGGGGAGTTTTACGCCGGTGAGGCGGTCCATGCTCCGTGCAGGGAGTCGTGCGAGGGGGCTGCCTGGGGGTTGCGTTGTGCATGGGCGCGCGGGACTTCGGGTTCGGACTGACGAGGGGGGGGTCACCGCTGGAGGGGTCGGCAGCTCATCCCGAGGGTCCAGCTTCGAGGGTCAAGGGGCGAGGAGATGCTGGACGGTTCTGGGCGTGTTGGGAGGTCTTGGGGGGCTCTGTGGATCCCGAGGGGTCGTCCTCCTTGATAAGGTGGCGACCCCCCTGGTGGTGACCCCCAGTAGCACTGCCTGGCAACTGTTCAACGTAGTTAGGCAGCGTTGGTAGCGGAGAGAGCGTGAAGCACGAGGGTTTGGGCCTCCCCTCCAGGGCCACTGCTGTGTCCCCAGAGCGGCGCGTGCCCCACAAACGTTGGCCACCACGGCATCTGAGAACGAGGTCGACGGGTGCCTCGGCCAGCGCCCGTGTATGCCTCTGCTCCCAGCTGTGTTCCCGCTCCTCCTGCTCCTGTTCCTCGCCTCTGTGGGTCCGATGGGGCGACAAGCGTGCTGCCTCGCCGCAGCGACTGGGACTATCGGTGCCCCAGTGTGGCGTCGGCTATAAGGTGCAGGCCATGTCGTGTAAGCCATGCTGTGAAAGCTGTGGTGTGTAAGCTGTGTGGAGTGAGTTCTCTGGTGCCAGCTATGCGGAGCAAGTTCTGCGGTGCAGGCTCTGTGGTGTAAGCCTATGCTGTGGGTCCTCCCCCTCATCCTGCTGCTCCTCCTCCTCCTCCTCCTCCTTCTCCTCCTCCTTGTCCTCCTCCTCCTCCTCCTCCTCCTCCTCCTCCTCCTCCTCCTCCTCCTCCCCTTCCTCCTCCAGCCCCTCCTCCTGGGCGCGGAGGGGCGTCCACGAGGCGGCCAGGAGCGGGCACGAGGCGCCGAAACGCGGCGGAGCCTCGGGAGGGACGCCCACGCAGGCGGAGCGTCCAGGAGGAGCCCACGAGCGGGGGCCGAGGCGCCAACGTGGCGGGAACCCAAAGTGCCCCTTCAGTCACACATTTGTTCATGCCTAAGTATTCGAAAGTGCTTTGATTTTCCTGGGGGCCAAGATCCTTTCGTTCCTCATTGCTCTGTCCTAGGCCCCTTCCTGGCCACCAGGGGGCCAGGAACAATTAGAAACGAGCACAATTAGAAATGAGCACGATGAGAAATGAACGACGTGTACACCAACTGTAAGCAACGGAAGTAAGAGCGCCTACTTACGCAGGACGAAAGATTTTCCTCTTGAGGTGAAAATGACCATGAGGATTTCGCGAGATAACGTCGGCGCCGCCGCACGGACGGCGACCAGACGTGCTGTTTGCAGCATCCGGGGTGAGAGGGATGTACGTAGCACCCCGCAATTGCGGATAAGAGTGAGGGGGCGGGCGCGGGCGACGCGGGCGTCGTCGAGCCGGCGGAACTCGTGGCCCCCACCTTCCCTATCGATGGCGCTCTCCTCCTCCTCCTCCTCCTCCTCCTCCTCTCCTCCCTCCTCTCCTCCTCTCTCCTCCTCCTCCTTCTCCTCGTCCTCATCGTCGTCATCGTCATCGTCATCGTCATCCTCCTCCTCCACCTCGTCCTCCTCCTCTTCTTCCTCGTCCTCCTCTCCCCCCCTCGTCCTTTCATCATCGTCCCCCATTGTCGTCCTCCCCCCTCGGCCTCCATCATCGTCCTCCCATTGTCGTCCATCATCATCATCCTCCCCCTCCTCCCCCTCCTCGTCCTCCTCCTCCCCCTCCTCCCCCTCCTCCCCCTCCTCGTCCTCCTGCTCCTCCTCTTTTTCTTTCTCCACATTCTCCTTACATCCTCTCTTCTTCCGCGTTCTCCTCGTCCCCTGTTTACTCCACCTGCCTCCCCCTCCTTTCCCAAGATACTGCAACGCGGTCCTTTTTCCTATTTTATGCTCCCCGCCTTCTCTGACCAAGGCAACTCGCCAGGGCAGAGTTGCTGGACGGGCTGGTGTGGATGCGCGGGGCTTGAAGAGGTCCTTGCGGGCTCAGACGGCATGCAAAAATCCGCCGCCGCGTTTGTGCGGCATTGGTTTGTTCAGTGAACGTTGTTGAGGTCGCGGGTGGGTCGCGGGTTCTCCACCTCCACCTGGAAGGAATGCAAAAGCAGCACGCCGCAGGCGCCAAAAAGAATGGTTTGTACACTGAACGTGGTTTGGGTCGCGGGTGGGCCGCGGGTTCTCCAACAGGAAAGAATGCAAAAGATGCCCGCAGCAGGCGCCGAAAAATGTGGTTTGTACCCTGAACGTGGTCGCGGGTGGGCCGCGGGGCTCTCCACCTGAAACGAATGCAACAGATGCTCGCCGCAGGCGCCGAAAAATGTGGTTTGTACCCTGAACGTGGCTTGGGTCGCGGGTGGGTCGCGGGGTCGGTCGCGGGTGGGTCGCGGGTGGGTCGCGGGTGGGTCGCGGGTGGGTCGCGGGTGGGTCGCGGGTGGGCCGCGGGCGGGTCGCGGGGTGGGTCGCGGGGTGGGTCGCGGGGGTGGGTCGCGGGGTGGGTCGCGGGGTGGGTCGCGGGGTGGGTCGCGGGTGGTTCGCGGGGTGGGTCGCGGGTGGGTCGCGGGTTGGGTCGCGGGGTGGGTCGCGGGTGGGTCGCGGGGCGGGTTGCGGGTGGGACGACGACAACAAACAACAACAAACAACAACAACAACAACAACAACAACAACCAACAACAACAACAACAACGAGAATCCGCACCGCGGAATTCCACTTCAGCCACGCACCCAGGGACAGTGAATGACCGTTCGGCCCCCTCACTCTGATGTATTCATGTTGAATGTGGCCCGCTCGCGCGGGGAGTTGATGGGAGTGCGCGAGACGACGCAGCGCCCATCGTGGAAAGTTAAGTACCGAACCCCCCTTCCCCTGTAGAATCTTAACACGGGCGGTTTGCGGGGTCCGCGGATCCGATTTCTTCCGGCTCCCTGGTTTACTTTAGTAATAGAAATTAAAAACAGGGTAGAAATCGGATCCGCCGTGAAAAATAAGACCGAACACGGATCCAACAAATCCGAAATCGGATCCGCGCGGACGGAAATCGGATCCATTGAAGCACAAACAAAAACCAAAATTGGATCGGCGCGAACTTCATTTGATCCGACGGGGGGTATTCACACGCGTCTGCTTCAGACTTCAAACGTTTGCTCCGGGCCCAAGAGGAAAATTGTTTCACCCTGGGGATGAGCGTTTTGGCCTTCGGACATGTTGGTTGCCACGTTGTCCCCGCACCACACCTCACCACAAGTTCCCCGCAACGTGCAGTCAGGAGTTCCTGCTCGAGACGTCCTCGCAACACCCGGAAAAAGAACCCCGCGCGTTGATTGGAGTTCTCGTTCGGGACGTCCTTGCACAAGCTTGCGCTTTGGATTCGGAGTCGTGGTGGGCCACGCCAGAGCCCGCCAACCAGGGGAAGGTTTTTTTCTAGCGTTGCGCTGGCCTCCAGACCGTGCAGGGGCATGCCAGCGCCCACAACGTAGCAGGAGCCTTTCCCGTCCACGAGATTGCACGCGTGGGGGGCGGAAAGGAGAACGAGGAGGAGGGAGGAGGTAGAGGAGGTGGAGGAGGTGGGGCCCCCGCCTGAGAGCGCAGAGGCCGTCCGTTGGGTCAGGAGACGCAGGGCTGAGCGTTTTGGCCTTCGGACATGTTGATTGCCACGTTGTCCACGCGCCACACCTCACCACAAGTTCCCCGCAACGTGCAGTCAGGAGTTCCTGCTCGAGACGTCCTCGCAACACCCGGAAAAAGAACCCCGCGCGTTGACTGGAGTTCTCGTTCGGGACGTCCTTGCAAAAGCTTGCGCTTTGGATTCGGAGTCGTGGTGGGCCACGCCAGAGCCCGCCAACCAGGGGAAGGCTCCATTTTTTTCTAGCGTTGCGCTGGCCTCCAGATCGCGCAGGGGCATGCCAGCGCCCACAACGTAGCAGGAGCCATTCCTGTCCACGATATTGCACGCGTGGGGGGCGGAAAGGAGAACGAGGAGGAGGGAGGAGGTAGAATAGGTGGAGGAGGTGGGGCCCCCGCCTGAGAGCGCAGAGGCCGTCCGTTGGGTCAGGAGACGCAGGGCCGAACCGCACTTACGCAGGACGAAAGATTTTCCTCTTGAGGTGAAAATGGCCATGAGGATTTCGCGAGATAACGTCGGCGCCGCCGCACGGACGGCGACCAGACGTGCTGTTTGCAGCATCCGGGGTCAGAGGGATGTATGTATTCATGTTGAATGTGGCCCGCTCGCGCGGGGAGTTGATGGGAGTGCGCGAGACGACGCAGCGCCCATCGTGGAAAGTTAAGTACCGAACCCCCCTTCCCCTGTAGAATCTTAACACGGGCGGTTTGCGGGGTCCGCGGATCCGATTTCTTCCGGCTCCCTGGTTTAATTTAGTAATAGAAATTAAAAACAGGGTAGAAATCGGATCCGCCATGAAGAAAAATAAGACCGGACACGGATCCAACAAATCCGAAATCGGATCCGCGCGGACGGAAATCGGATCCACTTAAACACAAACAAAAACCAAAATTGGACCCGCGCGAACTTCATTTGATCCGACGGCGGGTATTTCACACGCGTTTGCTTCAGACTTCAAACGTTCGCTCCGGGCCAAAAAGGAAAAAACTTTCGCCCTGGGGATGTAAGTGCAAGGACTGCCTGGGGAAGCACTGAACGACCACCACCGGGACGCGCGCGGGCAATCGCGCAACAGGTTGAGCGAAAGTTCGCACCCATCCAGAAGTACCACGAAACTGGAGTCCGCCGCGGATCTTGCGCAGCGAATGCTATCGGCAACTTCCGTGCGCCACGACAGTTGCACAGTGAGCGCATGCGTAAATACTCCCTGCTCCAGACTGACATCGCATTTGCCCGCAGAGTCTGTCATCGAGCAGGACAACCGCGCCGCGTGCAAACCATGTGCAAATGTGGCCTCCGTCGGCGAGCACATGAGGAGGCATAATTTGAGCAGCAAGCCATGTGAAAACGTGCACGTGGTCATTTCCAGAGCTGCATGAGCCAGTTTCGCCTCAAACGCCGAGCTGCCCGTGGATGGCCGAGACACGTGGGAATGCTGCTTCCATACCATGAGTCTTTGTAGTACCTAACAGGCCCGCGCGGCGCCTGAGGGCCGGCAACACCTGGGGTTGCCCTCCCCTTCCCTCCTCCCCTTCTCCTGCTCCCCTCCCCCGTCCTCCGACGTAGCCATTGCTGTTGTGACGTCGGCCCTCGGCTTTTCATCGTCGGTCGTTTTTTGATGGTCCCGGGGTCGGGAGACGGCCTCCCGAGGCCCGAAACACTTGAAAGCTTCCAGTTGTTCGGCGTCATTCGGAGTTGAGGGTCCGCCGCCCGCCTCTCCCCTGCGGCGCCTCCGCGCCGACCTGCCTCGCCCGCCTCGGTCGCCGCAAACCCCTTGCGGCGCCGGCGGGCCTCGGAGGGGCTCGATGTAGACACCACCGCGCTTGCTTGGCCAGGGAGCTCAGGAGCTCGGCGAAGGAATTCTGTGCATAGAGGCTCCAGCGACCCTCAGGTTGGGCAGCTGGGGTGTCTACAACCCAGATCCTTCGTCGACCAGACGACATGGTGCATCCATGAGGCGTTCCAGAAAAGGCCTCGCGTTCGAGGATTGACGGACTTGTCATCTCTTCCTGCGCGGAAGGCGGCGGAAGCTCGCAGAAAATGTAAAACCTAGGGCGGCTCCGCCAGCGGAAGCCGGCGGAAAGCTTTACCGGCTCAAGGAATCGTCGGCCGCCCCCTTTTCCGAGCTGAGTCGCAGCTCCCAGCCCGACCGCTCGCAGTAGCTTCCGTGCACTGGTAGTCTGTGCCGTCAAAGTCTCCAGCAAAGCCTCGGCCAACCAGGTCGAGAACCAGACTATCGTTGCGATCGCTGTGGGCAACCACGTCTCCACTGACGGCCGTGGACAACTTCGTTTCCGCAGCCGTGGGCAACAATGTCTTGGCCGCCGCGGGCAGACAACTACGCCTTCTCACATGCAGCCATGCTGGGGTGAAGTGTGTAGTCGAGCACTTGCCTGGGCACTGCATCTGTGCACGTTTACTCGTCGCTCCGCGTCGGTAAGGTGTGCTGTACCTAGTGGCTCGATTGGTCTGGACTAGCAGCTGCAAAAGAGTTTGGGCGACTGGGAGGAACAATGGCGTAGGGGGAGGGCGCAGCGCCTTCGGTGGGTGCTACGCGCTGTGCATCTTTGGGGATGGCCATCATGCTCCTCAGTTGCCGTCGTCGTCTCGCCAGGGATCTTCACAGGTGACACGCACGTTGACTTAATAGCTTTCGCTCTTGGGCCTTCCCACGTTCACGACGTGCTCATGTTCCCTAGTCCTCGGCTGGGCTCAGGAAGCGTGGTAGGCTCTGCGTTGCAACAAGTTGTGCGCCTCGGGGGAGAGCCGGGAGGGCTGGACACAGCATCTCTCGCCACGCACCTCTGATGGTAGGGAGACATAGACCGGTTTCGATGACCTCTCGGGGCCCTCTGCCCTCGGAGGGCGCGCCTCCAGCCTGTCCCCGTCGGCGTCCTCTTTCTTTCTTTCCCTTGGGCGCTGGCGAATTTACAGTGACTGAGCAGGTCGTTGCTTTTTTGGCGTCGCTGGGTGGCCGCCCAAACCCCAGACGGGGTCAGGGGCGCCTCTCCTGCAGTGCCGCCTCCGCGGGCCTCCGCAGAGGCGGGGGCGCGCAGGGGCGGGACGGGAGCCTGCAAAGCTACCGCCGTCATGACCCAGCTCAGCCCTCCCCATCGCGTGGCCTGCGAGGCCACCAGTGTCGATGCGAGCAGCCACACCGTGCGCCTTTTGTCGGTTGAGTTTTACTGGGGCCCACCGCAAGACACTTGGAGTGACTTACCAAGTGTGCACGGCTGCAACAAAACAAACGATGTGACAAATGTCCCCCCAAGAGACAGCAGCTATTTTGGGTTCAGGGTTCCCGGACCCTCCAGGCACCGGGCGTGTCGGAAACATCGAGACGGAAGTTTTTCCTCGTCTTCGGCCTCCCATGGGCCTCACACTCACGCCCAGCCTCGGGGCCGCCAAGGAGAGAGCGGAGCGAGGCTCGGGGAAGTGGTCTCGGGAGGCCGCGAGGTCCGCGGCCCGCGTCTCGAAACAAGATCGAGGCGCCGGGTGTCTGGGCCCGCCGCGCCGAGCCCCTCCCGGAGGAGGAGGAGGAGGAGGAGGAGAAGGAGGAGGAGGAGGAGGAGGAGGAGGAGAGGAGGAGGAGGAGGAGGAGGAGGAGGAGGAGGAGGAGGAGGGAGGAGGGGAGGAGGAGGAGGAGGAGAGAGGAGGAGGAGAGGAGGAGGAGGAGGAGGAGGAGGAGGAGGAGGAGGAGGCAGGGCCACCGGCGCGCCCGGCCCGCGGCGCGGGGGCCTCGGCCCCGCCATCCCCCCCTCCGCGGGCCGCGCGGGCCGCCAGGCACGCCGGCGCCGCAGACGACGCCAGCGCGGCCACGCTGCCGGACGTGGCCCTGGAGCGCCGCGCTCGGGCGTTGGGTATAATTCAGGAGGGGAAAAAACACACAGACACGATTAATCGTCGATCCCCAGCAAAATATGGGAAAATATGGGAAGTGGTGGGGAAGACAAAAACCCAGAAAATATCTGAAAGTATGGGGAATCTTTTTATTTGTGTGTATTTATTTGTGTGTCCCAGTTTCCCTTCAATAATTCCGGTATAGCCCAGTTAGTAGTATGGCCCCGGAGGCCCTAGATAGGCCAGGATCACTCAACCAGGTCTGCCGTGTAGCTGGTGTTCTGTCGGGTGGCGGCAGCTCCGGTTAGTGGAACGGGCGGGGGGGGGGGCGTCCGTCCCCCAGTACACATCACTAAACCAGGTCCCGCTAAACCCAGTTCTGCCAACACCCGAATAATGGAGGGGCGACGCCGGCATGACGGGAGGTGTTCCCCCATCTTCGGCATCTGGGGGCCCTTGCCAGGCCTCGGGGCCGTCGAAAACCGACTCGGGATGAAAGACTGGTCCTGGGGCATGGGTCGAGGCTTCGGGTGTCGACGCTGTGAAAGCATCGTAGCCTCGGGGATCTGGGCTTCCTCACCGTAGGGACCCTAGAGAAGCCTTCCGGGGCCCAACGGGGGCACGGAAGGTGCACGTTTCTGCGCCCCCTATATGTTGCCGCCCTTCCCAGTAAGCAGCGCCAGACCCGCTGCCGCGCCGGTCGCCGTCGCAGCGGGCTTCTCGTCGCGCGCCGGGGCTCGCGCGCGCGCGGCGGGTGACTTCGGCGGCCGCCCAGTTGCGAGGCGGGAATTTGTCCAGATACACTGCCCGGGGAAGCACCGCGAGAGATTGTCCATGTCCACCGCGAGGGGGACCTGTGGTGGACATGGATACACTTGGTGTTGCCGGGGCCTGAAGGTATCCATGTCCGCCGCCTGCCGACGTCCCCAAAGATCGATGCCCCAGGCCTCAGACTCGTGGCGTGCGCGGCGCGCGCCGGAAAACTTGCACCTGGGCGCGTGCTGGGCGCGCGCGCGCAAACGCCTCGGCGTGTCGTGCCCCCGGGGCGACGCCGTGGGATCCGGGCCCTCTCCAGCGTCGGCTGGCCCTGAGGTCGGCCGTCGCGCAAGAGCTGCAACATCGTGAGAGGTCACGACCATGAAGCACCTGACCCAGATCTCCAACGATGTGTGTTTCTCAATCGGGTTTTTTTCCTTCGGTTTCGGCGGACGGGGCCCCTTACTGGTCCCCGAGACCAAAGATGGATCCAGGGCGAAAATCCGCCCCTGGGGCTATGATGTTCCAACCTACTTTAGCCTTGACCACCAGAATGAATTTCGAGCACCAAGAAAGTATCGAAACTGGAGGGTTTTCACGTGTCATGGGAGGCGATACTCGTTCGACACCGTCTCGATATTTTGCTGGGTGCTCGAAACTATTTCTGGGATGCGGTCCTTGAGCACGACGGGAGCAACCTGACCCCGGGGAAGCGGTCGGGACCTCTGGTGCCGCAGCGTAAAGGTATCACTCCGGCGGACGTCAGGGGCTCCCTTCCGCGGCGCTTTTCGGGCCGGATCGATCTGCGAGGGCTGGGTGCCCGGAGTTGGCCGACAGCGCCGAGTGTGGAAAGGTGCGGCGCCAGGGCCTCTACATACCCAGATCCCCGACGCCATATTTTTTGTTCACAACGTCGCCCCCCGAGGTCTCGACCCATTCCCCCGGGACCAGTTTTGCATCCCGAGTCGGCTTTCGACGGCCCCGAGGCCCGGCAGGGGCCCCCAGATGCCGAAAACGGCGAAAGACCTCCCGTCGGGATGTCTCCCTTGCTCGAGGGGGTCTGGGTACAGTGCGGGCGCGCATCAAGAGACCGTGTGCTTTTCGTCAGGGTATCGTGGGTTCCTTCGCGCCTCGCCTTGCGCGGTGACTTCCCGCAGCCGTGGAAGGAGCTGCTGCGCTCAGGGTGCTCCGGCTTTCCCCTCAGGCTCGGCATCGCTCGGACGTGTGCATATGTTTTTCTCGGCGAGAGCCATCGAGGACCCTCCTGGACCATCGAGCAAAAAAGAAGCACGCACGACACCGACAAAATGCACGGGAAATGGGGGAGGAGGGAGGAGGGAGGAGGGAGGAGGGAGGAGGGAGGAGGGAGGAGGGACGTCCGAGCGACGGCAAGCAGGTGCACCTCGCGCACGGGCTCTCCTTTGGTGGGGTCTCTTGCGACAGGTTTGTCCTGCGGCCGCGCCCGCGCACTGTACCAGCCGGGGCGCGTGCGGCGGCCACCGCGTCGGCCCTGGCAGCTCGGCCTCGCCGGCTCTCCGGCCCTTTAATTGTCGGAGCCTCGTCGCGCGGAGGGCGTGGGCGCGGCCTCTGTGGCCCCCCGTCCGTGCGGCCACGACGCCTCGGCCGCGGGGGCGAAGCGCCGGCGCACGGTCCGGGCCGGAGGGCCGTCGCTCGTCCGCAGGGGGACGGCTCGGGGGCAGGACTCTGAGCCTCTGAGGTTCGGAGGTGGATGGACTTTCCTACCCTGACACGTCGATTCGTGAACTGGCCGTTTTCGGTTCGCGAGAGGGCGTCGCGGCCGTCATTTTTGCGGGTCCAGGTCCGCCGATGTCGGTCCAAGGCCGTTTTCACTAAAGGGTGGTTTACTAAAGGGAGGTTTGTCCACCGCCGAGTGGGGTCCGAGTAGATGGGGTCGGAGGATCGCGCCGCATCGCCGATGCACTGACGATGCGGCTCGATGTGGAGGCCGTGTTTCCCCACGCCGACGTCGGCGATGCATCGCCGATGCATCGCCGATGCATCGCCGATGCATCGCCGATACATCGGCGATGCATTGGCGATGCATCGGCGATGCGGCGCGATCCTTCGACCCCATCTACTCGGACCCTATCTAGGAGGCCTCTAAAGATCGATGGTGGCGACCAGCGAGCAGCACACTTCTCCCGTCGGCGGCGAGGCAGAGGCAGTCCGCTCCAGCGTGTGGCTGTTCGGGGCAGGCGAGAGCGGCGAACTGGCCGGCTTGCACTGCAAGAGGGATGAAGCAAGACGAGGGCGGCTGCGCGGGGGGAGGGGGAGAGGACAGCGCACGAGCGAACAGCACACACCCAGACCCATCGGGTAGGTTCGTGCGGCGTTGGCGCGCTGGCGACGCCGGCGAACGCGTTCAAGGTTGAGGTCTGCGACGCGGAAGCACCCATGGACACGGTAACGCCTTTGGACCCGACGGGATTCAACCTTGAACGATCGGCGATCCATTCAAGGTTGAACGATCGGCGCAGTGTCAAAAGCCTTTTTGCGCGCCGACGACGCACGAACCTACCGTAGGGTGTTCGGAGGGAGGAGGTCCCGCTATGGGTATGGGTGCGGGTTGTCGGACCCCGGGGGAGGCTTCCGTTCGAGCGGGGACCCCCATCCGACAGCACGCACCCATCGCCCCCTCCGTCCCCTCCCTAGCGGTATGGGTGTGTCTTGTTCGCTCGTGAGGTGTTGTCTCGAGCACCGCGGGGCCTGACTCCTTGGAGTCGGCCTCGTGGGCCCTGGTCTCGTCGCAGTTACCCGACTTGACCCTGTGCGGACTTCGGTCAGAAAATGTAATCCCATTAATTGTGAAAGTGTAAGATGGACGGGTGTGGGCAGGCGCACAGAAGGGACAATTCTCGCGATTTGTTCGAGTGAGTTTTCTCTTACAGGGCGCTCTCCTGGCACCCAGATTTATGCGGCGCAGCGGCCATTTGCGCATACCAGGGTCGACAAACTGGAAACGGGCCAGAATGATACGTCATAACCCAGTTCTCGCGAAGGCAGAGTATCGAGGACGCCTCCGGCGAATCACTGCCGCCCCTGTCCTTCCCAGAAACGCCTGCGTTGCGAATTGTCAGGCGAAGGAAGATGCGGCCATGCTAGTGGACTGGATGCTTCCCCAGCACTTGAGGGCACCACTGGGAGAACACTGGGGAGTGGCCATCTGCGGGCACACTGGAGCTCTCTTGCGGTTCTCCTCGAGCCAGTTTGGCCTTCTTGGGGGCCTCTTGGGGCTCTCGTGGGCCGTCTTAGCGTGCTCTCGGCCCGTCCCACCCCTTCGGAGGCTGTGTTGGGGGCCCACGTGGACCACATTTGGGATCTCTTGGAGCTCTTTGGGGCCGTCTGGGTGACCCTCTTGGGCTGCCTTGGGGCCTTCTTGGGCCATCTGGGGGTCGCCTCGGGGCCATCTCGGGACCACACTGGGCCGTCTTGCGGGCCTCTTGGGCCTTCTTGGAGTGTCAGAAGCCCGACAGTGAGAGAACGCGAAACCAATGGAAACCCGGGTGAGACAGGGCGGTCTTGACTATCTTGGACGGAAAAGTACTGTAGTTAATACCTACCTGGTCCGCGGGTCTGGCGGCCTGGGCCCGAGAGCACTGGGAACAGCTTAGAAGCGCCAAGGAGAGCCGTAAAGTCCGACGCGCCAAGCACCCCCTCCAGCAGGCTGCGGGCGCGGCGGACCTTACGGCGAATCACCGCCGCCCCCTGTCTTCTGGAGGCGCTTGCGTGGTGAAGTGTCGAGCGAAGGTGCGGCCATGCCAATGGACTGCACGTTCCCCCAGCGATGGGAGAGACCACTGGGAGAACACTGCAGCCTCGGGCGTAGGTTTCCGTACGCGGCACCGAACCGCGCACAACAACATTCGAATTCAAGGGCCCCCTTGCGAGCGGGCTCACCTTGCGCCATGCGCTCCTTCAATTTAGTTGGTGTTGAGGTCAGTGGGTCGAGCCTGACTTGGGGCGTTCCGCTCGGAACATCCTCTGAATTTGCCTGGTTTTGCCCCTGGTGTTACCTGGGTTGGCAGGGCGCCCCGCCTGAGACATCCTCAACATTTGTATAGTTTGGGCCCTAGTTTGCCTTAGTTTAAGGCCGGTTTCGTTTAAGACGTCCTCATAGTCTGCTTGGTGTGCTGAGTTGGAGCCAGTTTCGTTCGAGATTTCGTTTCAAGTTGCTTGATTTGGCTTGCTTTTGGCGCGGTTTCGCCCGCGACGCCCTTGCGATCTGCATGGTTTGGC